GTGTAATATATTTTGAAAAATGTCATTTAAAATTTATAAAAACTAAGCAGCCTACAGTATTTTTACAGTTAAAATAAATGTTTATCCAATAAAGTCTAATGTTACAACTAATCATGGATCCCTTTAAAAATCTTCAAAATTTCCCATATTTTGTTAGCAATACTCAATAATAAGGAAATCAAGGAATGTATACCAGCTGAATACAAATAAAACATAGTTGAAGACGATATTTTTTGAATTCTAATTTAACTTGTGATTTATATATGTTGAATACCTTTTGTTTTTGCAGACTGTGTGTTTTGTGACTCAGCTCTTGYGCAGCCATGGAGAAGCCCTGGAGGCTGTGGGGAGCAATACAGCGTTGCACTCTAACTCTGGTGTCCTGGTCCTGGGGTGCATGTCGTGTATCCCTTTTGGCCCTCATCCTCACTTTCCACCTGTATGGAGGTTTTTTCCTCCTTGCACTCATCCTAGCATCCGTGGCGGGCATCCTCTATAAATTTCAAGATGTTCTCCTGTACTTCCCCGACCAGCCCTCCTCCTCTCGCCTTTATGTACCAATGCCGACGGGAATACCACACGAGAACGTGTACATTCGCACCAAGGACGGTGTGAAGCTCAATCTCATCTTGCTCCGTTACACAGGAGGGGATTCTCTTCCTGGGGTCACTTCTGGCAATCAAAGCAGCCCTAATTCCTCTGCACCACCTACAATTCTTTATTTCCATGGGAATGCAGGTAATATTGGTCACAGGGTGCCAAATGCTCTTCTGATGCTGGTTAATTTAAAAGCAAATATAGTGCTGGTGGACTACCGTGGCTATGGGAAAAGTGAGGGTGAGCCCAGTGAGGATGGCCTGTACCTGGACGCTGAGGCCACACTGGACTATGTTATGACCCGGCCTGACTTGGATAARACAAAGGTGGTACTCTTCGGTCGCTCATTAGGAGGTGCTGTGGCTGTTCGCTTGGCATCAGTCAACCCTCACCGGGTAGCAGCCATTATTCTTGAAAACACCTTCCTCAGCATCCCCCACATGGCTGCGACACTCTTCTCCGTTTTGCCCGTGCGTCTGCTGCCCCTATGGTGCTACAGGAATCAGTTTCTGTCCTATCGACACGTGACGTYGTGCCGCATGCCTTCGCTGTTCGTGTCGGGCCTGTCGGACCAGCTCATCCCTCCTGTTATGATGAAACAACTGTACGAGATGTCGCCTGCACGGACTAAACGCCTGGCCATCTTTCCAGAAGGCACGCACAATGACACGTGGCAGTGTCAGGGCTATTTCTCTGCTTTGGAGCAGTTCATGAAAGATCTGCTGAAGAGCCACGCTCACGAGGAGGGTGCTCAGCCCTCAGCGAGCGTCACCATTATCTGATCAGTCAGATGTGACTGTGTCTGCAAAGTATGGATGCAGTGGAGAGACTTTATTGATTGGTGAAAAGAATGTATATTTTTTATGTTTTTCTTTGGGTTTTATTTTATTTCACGGTTTTTACCTTTCTGTAAATTTTAAWATGCTAAAATATTTTCACAGTTTCAAGTTTGGAATAGATTGTATCTACATCCTTCTGGATTTTCGTTGTTTGTGTGTTGCAGATACGAATGCATGTATTTACAACCTTTTTATGAATGAAGCCAGAGCCTATATGCTCATCCCACAAAACGTGTCACAATCACAGGATTCCCCTGCAGAAAATCACTTAAAATGACTCCAATCTTATGATCAGTCTTAAAGTATTATAACCATGAAAGGGCCAGTGAAATTGGAGGTGAAATTGGAGGTGAAATTGAATATTACTCAAATGAAAGTAACATGAGACAGTGTCTGATTGTGTAAATTAAATTTATATTGAGAGGTGTACTGTAAATGTAGATAGCTTTGTTAATATATTGTGCTTATTTTTGTTCAGGTTTATTCACCAGTTTCTTTATGAGAGCTAAAACTTTCAAAGCAATACTTTAAAGATTGTAAAGATGTTCTTTGTTTCACCTCTTTTTGAACATGTGCGTGCTGCAGCTTGGCATCTTMTGGCTTTATTGTTCTAAAATTTATGCTTGCCTTTGCATTTTGTCAGCCACATTTGCGGAATTAAAAAAAATATATATTGTTGGATAATTATGTTCATATTATTTAAATGAGGTGGTCAGATGATGTCTTAGAATTAAAAAAAAATACGTTTTTTAATTTCCTGTTAAGCTACTTCTGTTTTGAGATTAGGAGAAGCTTGTAGTTTCTCACCCCCAGCTCTGCATAGTGTTAAAATGCAACTAACACAGAGAAGTTATTCTTAAATGATATCAGTTTTTGTGCTGGAAGAGTTTAAAGTCACTGAAATCCCTTTGACTCTGCTGATCATCAGTAAGATTCACTGGAGGAAATTGGAACAAAAATCTGTTTTTATTTTTATTTTATTTTATTTTTTTGTTGTTGAGCCTGTGACAGTACAGTGACGTGATGAGGCCATGTTGTGAAGGTATCTGTTGACGGGGAGAAAAATCCTGCTGATCTGCTGCATTTGCTAGATTTTTGTAATGTTTGARTAAAATTATTTTGAAATATAGCCACCTTGTGTTTGTTACAACAGGAAATTTCAAGTATGTTTTGCTTTTTAAACAAATGAGAAGGACTTATCTTTTTAACACTCATCACTTTTATGTGAAAACTTCGTAACTAGTCTGCTCGTTCTTTCACTTCACGTAAATGCTATATGCTAACAGTGTTGTATGAGGACATCTTGGGAAAGGAAAAAAAATATCTTGTCACATAATGAATCAAGTGAAGACCCTTTCAATTTTTATGATTTGTTAGCTGTTACTTTTAGCATAATTGTTATTTGGAGGATTATGTCTCCCCCTCATGCTTCTGTGGCAAAATGACTATTCTCACTTAATGGGTGTGGGAGCATTTAATGAGCTAATTACCCTTTCCTGCATGTCTTCCAGAGACAGAGCAAAGCCTGATGATTAAAACACTATTGTCTGCTCTTTGCTTTTTTTTTCTTTTTTTTTCAATGCAGCATGCTGCACTGCAGTGGTTTAAAAGCCATTTGAATTCATTCAACAAATCTTTGTTATATCAGGTAAAAAAAAAAAGACAGTTCCGAAAAGGTAAAATTTTTAATTTTCTTTACAACATGAAACAGTTTTGAAGCCACTATGAATGTGAAAGGTGGTCTTAAATCTCCATGCATTATTATAAAAGATTGTGTAATAAGTGAWACTTATTTCTTCCATTTCTGTGACTTTTTCCACTGATGACCCCAAACAGTTGCAGACCTTTTTTTTTTTTTTTTGTAAAGTATAAAATCCATGTGCTGAGTTCAACTATGTAAATAATCACTCATATTGCWCAATCTTTACATTCATTTAAAAAACACATTTAGGAACGTGTCTTTCACTTATAGTGTTCTTGATTTATAATGTGTTGTTGGCTGACCTGGCACAAAATTTAATGAGTTTTATTTTTCCTCGCSAAAAGTGTCGTCACTGTTAAACACACTGGTGATGAACTGAAGCAGAAAAGAAAATGAATGTATTTTTAAAAATGAAAAAAAAAAAAACAACAACACTGTGGCTCTTCTTTATGTTCACATGAACAGATAAGGATGAAAACAGTTGAAATGTTGGTATTTTAAATTGATAATCTGCTTTTATCAGGCTCATTGTGAGTCTCCTGTAAGTGTGCACGGTGTTCAAATACCTAGTGTACATATTTATTGAGGATTTCTATCAGGAACATAAATCACTAAAGGGCTGTCTGCCCAATTAGACATGTGAATGAGCTGTTTTTTAAACATTGGTACCGATTTTCCATCTTAGAGTTTCGTTTTTATTCCAAATCTCTGTCAACTTCTTTTGTACGCACACATTTTCACTTTCTATTTTCTGTATTGGTAACATGCAATAAATTGATACATCCTTTCATGTTTGCTTGTTTTGTTGCTCATCACTTGTTATAAACAATAACTAATAGAATCCAGGAAGGCGGGTACAGTTTTTTTTTTTAAATGCAACAACTGAATCACAAATCTGTAATTTATTAAGTTGTTTGTGCTTGTTGTAGTACGGAAGAGGATTAGGGCAACTGAAAAATAAAAAAAAGGAATTCTGACTTTAATCTCAATTAAAGTCAGAATTCTGAGATTAGAGTCAGAAATCTGAGATTAAAGTCAGAATTCCTTTTTTTATTTTTTCCAGTGGCCCTAATCCCCTTCCGTAGTTAAAGAGACAAAAATACAAAAGAATGATTCATACAGACATTTTTTGTTTACACAAAAACTAAAATTTAAAATCTGACACTGSTGACTCAAATAAAATTAGACACATTTATCAAGCTGTATGGTTTGTGTTAGACAGCCCTTCTTTGAAATCTTTGCAACTTAAAAAGCACAGATTTTTTTATTTTTTGGAAGTAGGGTTTTCTTCATCACAGCTTACATCTACAGGAAACAAATAATCTGTATTGGCAAAGCTGTCATTCTGTCTGTAACAGTGTTGTTCAGAATGAAGTCAGGAAATGTCYTGAAAGGTTGATGATAGCATACATGTTACTATAAATATTCATATCATACAAATGCACTGATAACCCTATTATTGCATCAAAGACAGTAATTGCACCTTTAGCAGTGGCAGAATATTACATCTCAGAGTCCTTTCATATAAATCTGCAGTTCAGGTGTCTGGAAAACAAGGTCTTTGTTATTTTTGAACCAGTTACCTTACAGCCCAAATTCCAATGAAGTCGGAACATTGTGCAAATTAAAAACAAAATGCAATTATTTGAAAATCCTTCTCAAATAGTAAACAAAGACAAGATATTTAATTTTCAAACAGATAAACTTTTTTGCATTTTTGAACATATTCACTCAGTTTGAATCTGATGCCTGCAACATGCTCCAA